AAATTAGTTGAAGACTAAGGAACTATTTGGAAATATACATATATGTCTATTCCAAATAGATTGTTTTCTATATTTAAAATCGACTAGATATTCAACGAAATATTCCACAAAACCAGTACATTCTTGTCTTAACATAAAACATATTTTATTTTTGCATTTCCGCTCTTCGTGGATTATTAAATATAACATATACAAGTATTTAATACACACATACGTATCTGTATTGAAAATGAGCATACTATATTCTTAAAACATGGCTGTGAGACGAGTTGAAGGCAATATAATAAATACAATACAATTCATAATGACATTGTCATGCAAAATTAAACAAATCTATTCATTACCAGGCATTAAATTGATGCTCACTTGGCTGGCCATAAATGAATTTTGCAGTTAAAAATTCCCATTTATTCGGCAAGCCTCAATTCAATTACCAAATGCCAAATGCACAATCTCGGTTTAAATGCAGGAAATTGATGGAATATATGTATGTACCTATAGCCTTTGATAAATGAGAATGCCTGCTGTTTATGGGCATACAATATTCAATATCTGATGATAACGACTGACAGAGCGAAATCGAAATCAAACACAAGTCAAGTTCAACCAACTTGGATCAATGTAACTGTCACTAGCAGGCAACAGGACTAATAACATTTTGATGTCCCTATGCTATAACCGAAACGAATCGCATCGAATCGAGCCGAATAGCATGGAACAACTGCCCTAGAACGTAGAAATGCGCATTCATGGGAAAATCAATTGAATTGAAAATGAATACGAGAATGAAAACGAAATCGAAATCGAAGAACAGAAACAGAAGCAGAAGTGCGCGAGTGATAAACGCATGAGTTCGGCCAGCTGATGCGCACATTAGTCGAGGACCCGACCCTGAGCCATGAGCCTGCAAAGCAATCAGCAATAGTCCGTAACAGCAGCATGCTCCTAGGCTCCTGGTCCTGCTCCTGTTGTGTATTGGTTAGTTGTCATTAAAATCCTGCGCCATCTCAGTGATGACTAAGTCGTGCAGACATCGAATTTGCTACTCTGCTTCATTTCTCTGCCTGTTCCTGCCGCTTATGTTAATCAGGCGTAAGTCCTTTTGTTAAATTTTTTCCTATTCGTTGGTCTTAAGCAGAATTAGCATTTCAATCAAATCCATTTTATGTGTCTGAGCTGTTTTATATCCCGCCGCATCATCGTCGTCCTCATCATCAACGTGAAATCATGTAAATGTATCTATCAGTATGTGCTTTCATGAGTATTTGTTTTTCCGCTAAACGCTTGAAATTGATTGATTGAATACTTATTCAAACGTACACTCTTCATGCTTAGGTCTGCAGATTTTGACTTTTACTTTGCAGGTACAGTGAAATTTGTCGAAATTATGTTTTAAAATAAGACTAGAAACTCATTTTGAAATAATGCTGATAATGTTTTAAACTGCGATCGGAATAACTTAATTAATGAAACGAAAATATTCCGACATAAAGATGCATTGTTTCCTATATAAGGGATAAATAAATGAGGTATATATTTTGAAATAATATTGATAGTCATTTAAATTATGATTGGAATAACTTAAGAGCTTCATTTGAGCAGCATTTGAAATTTAGTTTCAAGAATTGTATTATGCAATTTGAGTGTTTCAGATGACCGCAAATAACAATTATTGTATTGTAAATTTTTATGGTAAAAATTATTTACTTATAGTGAATTTGAGAAAGCGAGGAATATACGCATCCTTTTTTGGGATTATCTAAACATTTTCACCATAATTAAAAATTTTTAATTTTTATACATTATTTCATAATTGAATGATTAATTTAGAGTTTTACTGTAGAACTTAATCTTGACTTTTTGATCAGAAAAATAAAACTCAAAGAATAATCATTATTTTATAAGTTTTTTTTTTTTTTGTCAAAAACAATGATTATTGGTTATTAAGCAAAGGTAAGATAAACAGACAACAGACAAAAATAATTCCAAAAAATCCATTCAGTATTTCATACGATTTTAAAAATGTTGTTTAGATTTAAAAAATACATATATACACATATATATATATATATATATATATATATATATATATATATATATATATATATATATATATATATTTCAAACATCAAACTTCGTTACTTAATAAGCCAGTCGCTACTAAGTATACTAGATAATGAGATATAAATGGAATGAAAGGAATTAAATGCACAACCACATCCGATAACAATAGCTAACAAAGTTTAATCATAAACGTGTATATAGTCCTTGTAGCCGTGGCCTAAATTTGCAGCTAAGGTCCAAGTACAATTTTGCTAAGACCAGATGGTATGCTATATATCAAATCAATTAAGTTAAATTCGACACAAAGTGTTTCCCTTAAGCTGTTGTTACTGTTTAAATATGCAGTAATAGCCCTCGATAGCCGCCGGTTCATTAATTCGTTTAACTACTCCCCTTTTAAGTTACTTGATAAGCGTGTGTGTGTTCTCCATTCGAACGTATATGTATATATGTTTATCGGACATGTCGAAACGCCCCATCCAACCAACCACTTAGGCTAAGAAACAACTACTAAGAGGCGCCCACAGAGCCGGAAACGACAGACAAACCCAATGGCGAACTTAATTAAACAAGTTGTACAGCAAATCTTTTATAAATGGCAAACAAAAGAGCACTACCTCTTACTCGCTATCCAGGATACTCCAGGAAATGGCCTGCGGCCAACTAAAGCAGCTGGTTGAGCAAACACGGCAAGGCGAAGCACACAGGACACAGAAAAGTAACCAAAAACGCTCGCCATGTATGCCAACACATCGGTGTGCGTGAGCTAACATTTTGTATCCATTCAGTACACTTACACATACACACAGAACCACCCACATACACACAAACATGGACACACACACACATGTATACACAAGTGAGCGCGCTCCATTTAAGGCAGCCGTTCAAACAATTTGGCGGTTTTGCACATTTTCGACTTTGATTTCGACTTACTAGTCGTTCGGCTCCGTCTGTTGGCCTCACTATTGCGATTGCCATTGTGGTTGTTGCTGTTGTTGTAGTTGTTGTTTGCCCAGTTAAACTGCTCGAAGAGGCTCCAAATAGTCAAGTGTGTGTCTCTGTGCCTGGACCTGGGCCTGGCTCTCAACAAATTACCAGAGTGGCGCTTAAAGTGCCTTTGGCTGCAGTGAAGTGTGTCTGTCTTGTGCCCTCGGCCTGTTCGTACGGATATTTCGCCATTAAAGCGTTAATAAATTTTCATGTGCATATCAATCGATGAGTTAGCAAAGCGAAATGTGCCATAAAGTGACTATTAATGTTCACCACTGGCTCAGTGTATAAATAAGATGCTCAACCAACGTGCAGCTGCCACGAGTTGAGTTAGACTGATGAGCTTTTGCGGCTAACGATAAAAACCAATACTCATGTCATGCCACACACTCGCATAAAAGTAAAAGTGCATTGGCAATATAAAATCAGGCACAAGAGCCACAAATGCAAGTGCGATTCGGAGTCGAGTTCCAGTGCTCGCATCATTGACTGCATTAAATAAATTCAAGATTCGAGAAGTACTCTTGGGCTGAGTTAGTACCGCAAAATCTGTCCCAATCTATTAATTCGTTGTTTTGTATTAATTGCTATTTCAACTATACTATTCAAATATATCTACATTCAGCAAGAGAACATAACATAACTAACATAACATACTTATAAGAACATAATTAGCCGTCTCAACATTTTGCTTTAACATATGATTCAAAGTCATTTTCGTAATTGTTAGTATTTTGAATTATAGAAGAATCTAATAGTTTCAGATTTCACTGGAGCCAGCTCAACTTCTGCTTTTAAATATGATTCCAAGTCATTTTCGAATTTGTTAGTATTTAAGAATCATTTAGTTAAGTAATTGAAGTTCGTTTTCAAACAATAAATTTTGAATTATAGAAGAATCTAATAGTTTCAGATTTCACTGAAGCCGGCTCAATATTTTGATTTAAAATATGATTCCAAGTCATTTTCGTAATTGTTAGTATTTAAGAATCAACGATAATTTTAAACATTTAGTTTGATAATTGAAGTTCGTTTTCAAACAATAAATTGAGTTATTGAGTTTCTTGTAGAAGAATCTAAAATTTTCCAATTTCACTGGAGGTTTTGAAGAATATTGTTCATTTATTTTAATTCCCTATAATATTTTGCTAAAAATGTCACTTATTTAAAAAAAAAATAATTTTTCAACTATTTCAATACGTTGTTTTGTTGATTTTATAAAATAAAATAAGGTATGCACAATAAGGAATTAGCAACAATATAAAATGTATATAAACCTGTATACTATTACAAAATGTGAGAAGTTTCATATTAATTATCTTTAAAAATAAAATGTATATCAAATAGTCTCTCACCCAGCATATTCTACAGATTTTGTCTAATGTGACTTGATTCTTGTGACAACAATTTTGAACAAATTTCTTGATAGCAAGGTCCTCAGCAGATTGTTCTATTTGAATTCACCTACAATAATATAATTCATACAACAACATTCCTCTTATTTTTTGCGTTTCTGCTATTCACAACACCCCAACCCCAACAACTCTTAACATACACCAGCATATGATTAATGCCAGTTACACTTAGGGTTATCCTTAAACTCAATTTAAAACCTCAAGCAGAGAAATAGAAGAAGTCCCAAGGCATATGTCGTGGTCCCATGGGTAACCTCATGCCCCAGAAAAATGAAGTAAAATGCTTAAAATAAGTTGCGTAACCCCTTGAAGCCCACTTCACTTCTTTATTCACATTTCTTTAAATCTGCAAACTTCTGTTTTATGTCCCTGTAGTCGACCAACAAAGCTCGCCAGTTCCTGCCCTTATGGACCCACTAACAAAGTGTAACAAGTGTCTGGGTGTATGTGTGTGTGTGTCGATTGCCCCTTTGCTACAGCATGTCTGCCTTCAGTTTATAAGAAAAATGTAGCAGCAACGTGAAGCACAAATATTATGCTACTTTTTTAATGTGTTTTGAGCTAAACAAGAAACACGATGAAAAAACAGGAAAGTTGCCATGCTGTTGTCCTTGCTGCTGTTCTTGTTGTTGTTGTTGTTCTTGTTCTTGTTGCTCGTTCTATGCAAAAGTTCCGCCCGGGCACTTTTGCATTACATTATCTGAACTTTTCCCACTGCTGTCTTGCGCTCGGCAATTTCTCATATTTTTCCATACATGCGACTATTTGCCTTTTCCATTGTCAGCCCCATAAACATGTTGTAACACATTTTCTTAGTCTTATCATCATTACGAGTACAGGGGGGAGAGAGAGCGCAAGTGCGCGATGAAAATGAAAAAAAAACTGCTGAAAAACTTGTGGAACACGCAGCCAGTGTCGCGTATTTATATACGAGTACGTCTTCTGCCCCATCCACGTCCTCGTCCACGTCCACTTCCATCTCCTTGTCCATCTGCTTGTCCATGTCCATGTCTATGCCGTGAAAACTTTGCGTCACTCTGATGTCAGCCAAATGAGTTTTGAAAGTTGCAAAAAGTTGAACACTTAATGGTGACAGTAATTTTTAATAAAATGCGGAAAAGTGGCAAAGAGAGCGAGTGCTGGGACCACACTCTTCAATGCACGCACGTTATTTTGAACGTGCACCAAGCATTGTGCAACATGGTGTGCTTCAGACGCTTCTGTCGACTGGAGCGTGCCGCCAGACGTTGCGCATGCGCCAAAGCAGCCTCCATGTCCCGCCGCACCTTAATGCATTTCCATTTCAAGTAGACATACGAGTCGTCCAACTCGCGGGTGGTGCGGCCCACAACTTTGGGGCAGATCTCGTCAATGCTCGCGCTGGTGCTTGTGGCAAGCGAACTGGTGTCCACAGTTAGATTGGAAATGCTCGAGAGGGAAATGCTTGTGGACTCGGAGAATAGCGACGCATTATCCGTGGCTGCAAAGGAGAGATCTGTATCAAACGGTTTCATATCGATTTTGTAACGATCGGGCGCATTATATTTCTCATTCAGCCGTTGCACCGTTCGTAGACACGCTACCAAGCTGCTCTCCACCGACTGGCAGATGATCAATGCTCGATCGATTTCGTTATCCTCGGAACCGCTCATTGTTTGGCTCAATAATTGTCTGTCTGCTAGTAAATGTATATGTGTGTGGAAGTGTGCGCTGCTGATAGGCGCGTGTGGAATTGAAAGACTCGTTCAGAAATTTAAGTTATAACAAAAAAAACTGGTTGACTTTTGAATATGATTTGAAGTAAGAAATGACACTTATTTCAAAAGCAAGCCAAAATCATAAAGATCTCAACATGAACAACCTGATTTTGAAAACAGTGCTAAACGCCTATATTTTATAGTCTATTTTAAAGTCATAAAATGGACAATGTAGCGTACAAGATTAGGTTTAAATCGGTATAAAGTGGCCTCAACTCGCCAGTATTTGTAGTTATTCCTCAAAGATTTGCTTATGAACATTTTTAATTTTTAGTTGCCAGTATTCATGCTAAAATATCATTTGATTTGATGGAGTAAAAGAAATAATAATAATAATAATAATAAAAAGAAATAATAAGCCTTTTTAATACCATTAAACATTGTTACACAAATCTCTGATCACCCCTTAAGAACAGAAGTACACTGACGCACATACGGGTATGTTGAAAATGAGATTACAAGTTAATATAAAATTGATTTATTCGTACACAATATTGGGATGTTTCCTGTATTGCAAATCTTCATTTGCATCTATTCCACCAACCCAACTAACTCTTTTTGTTGTTCTACGTGCAGGACGATGCGTAATTGCGAGCGGATTCTGCTCTTTAATATATTTCTCCAGTTTCTCTAATCGTGCCAAAATATCATTTAGCTTATCCCAGTCCGCACATTTATCAGTGCAGGCCCGCACCTTATCCTCCAGTCCTTTCAGTTTTTCCAGCGCATCATTAAGTTGCTTTTCAAGCTCCTCGATTCGTTTCTCCAAGTCCGACAAATCGTTCATATCTTTCATTAGTTGCTGGTATAATTTTTCCAAGCGGGTCAATCGTTGAAGAATCTCTTCCAGTTTTTTATTATATTTTTGTTGCAGTTTCTTTTCCACTTCGTCCAATCGTTGCTCGAGTTTTCTGTTTACCTCCTCGGTGTCCTGGATGTGCGCGATCAAAATGTTTGCCAGATCGGCAAATTGTTCCTCTGTATCATGCTGTAGTTTTTGGAGTTGTTCAAGCAAATCGCTCGCAATATCCTTGATAGGATTCAATTCCAGTTTGGTCTTATTAAGTTCGGCTTGCAACTTCTCAATACGATGCTCAAGATCCTTTTCGGCATCTTGACCAACCTGACTTGTGGCATTGAGGTGCTTGAGGAGCTCCATTGCCGCATCGAGACGCTTTGTTAAGTCTCCCATATCGCCCTCCAGTTGCTTTATGTGCGAATCGTAGCTGTTATTCAATTCCACAAGATTCTGGCGCACCTGCTCGCTGTCCTTGGCCAGACCTTCGATGCGGCTGCAAAAATCTTTGGTCCTTTCCAATTGTGCTTGCAAGTCCTCCAGCTGCTGCTCCAAGTTCTTGATACGCTCCTGGAGTTGCTCATTGGCCTCACATATTCCGGCTCGAATATTTTCTAACTGCTCGTAAAGCTTTGGCAACTCGGCCAATTTCTCTTGAAGATCTGTGCAGGTATTTAAAGTGTGGTTCCTCTTACCATTGTTAGTTTCTGCCACTGTCGTTAGTTGATTTATTTGGTTTAGAAGATCCTGCACCTGCTTTTCCAGCTTAGTGATTTTCTCTTCCAGTTGGTCGGTGTTGCATAAATTCGCGTTTGTACTTCCTTTATCAGGGCCGCATGTCCTCTCACATTTCTCATACACGTTTTCTATTGTCTCATTATGTCTCTCGGCGGTATCTTTGATGTTTGCTATTTTACTCGATTGCTGGTTTTGCTGGCTCTGCAAGTCCTGGACCTGTTCTTCTACCTGTGAAGCCTTTTTATGCGCTTCATTCTTTTCCTTCTGCAGTTTCTCATTCAATTCGTGCAATCTCTTTTCTAGCTCTTCACAACATTTCGCATTGGCAGCAACTTCGGTCGCAGTTGTGTTTTTCTCATGCTCCAACTTCTCCATGCGATCCATCACATCCTTTACCTGTTTCTCCAAATCGGCTTGCCTTTGTTTCAATTTCAGCTTATCCTTTGCAGACATGTCGGCGTGCTGCTCTGCATTTTTCTTCAAGTCCTCTAGTTTTGCTAATAGATCCTCTTTTAGTCTCATCAATTCTTCGTGTAGCTGCTCACAACAAATCGAGAAGCTCTTCGTTAGAAGCTTTCTCATGGCATCCAGCATGGTGTCCAAATCTTGTCCTAGGTCCCCACTTGGTTTCGTCGTTCCATTAACCTTGGCCAAACTGTTGATGTCCTCGAATATTCTATTCATAGTGTACGGCTCATAGAAGCAACAATGCTCCTGCGTAGCACTGACATTCAGCGATCCGAGCATCTTCCCCAGACGCTGATTGAAGTCCGTCAGTCTAGCCGTCTGTACCAAGCCGTCGTTGATCCAGCGCGCAATCTCATTGTAATCGTGGCACTCCTTTTCCGTCATGTGTGTCTGGCTTCGTGGTGCGACTGCGGACGGCGCCACTCCATGCGGCACGAAGTAGCCGGACCAGCCATACAGATTCAATCGAAAAGCCGCACTGCCACTCGGCAGCGATAACAGCAGCAGCAGCAACCAACACTTCGCGAAAGACGAAATCGTCATTAAAGCTGACGTCATGAATAGCTATGGATTGCACATGAGATATTGTTTAGTGTTTCATTCATTCCCTTTGGTACAAATTACTCACCATTACGTACCGAGTGCGACCTATTTGCGGTCCAGTGTCCATTTATTCCAAGTTATACAGTTGGACTGAGCGCAAATATTGACTCTTTAGAGCGCGAGCTGCTTCTTGCAGTGAATCGATTTGCATGCTAAACATTTGCAACGAGGGGTGTTATTAAAAATGTTCAATAATTCTTCCAACTAGTGGTTCAATTCTTTTGTCTTCAATGTGACCTTTTTAATCGGCTTTATTTAAATTAACTTGACTTATTTTAAGTCTGAGCAACCCCTGAGCTTCAGCGAATTAAAACCAAATAATTTCAAAAAGTTTGTAAACCTGTCTCCGCAAAAAGTTTGTCCTCTATAAAAATTCTATTCTAATTTATTACTATTCAGCTTTATTTTCTGCCAAGATTAGAATTGATCACAATTGCGATTTCTACATTATCTTTTTAGTGCCAACGTCTAAATAAAAATGGTCAGAGCCTTGATTTTCGTCGGATAATATAAGAGCTAAAGATTGATGAGAAGTTTCACACTAACTCTAGAAATAAAATAGACTCACCTACCCCGAAGCTATATATGCTATGCATTCCATATATGACCATGGACCAAAAACTATATATCCTATATACTTGTAGTATATGCTGTTTTCGTTCTATTTGATCTTTAATTAGAAAAAATAATTTACCTATTTTTTTTAGATGCACAACCAAAAGATATGACATCAACATTCATAATATGCAATCGTTTCTCAAATCTTTGGAAATAAAAGAGTTTTGATACAAAAACTAACATATAAATCATATTGCTTATATTACAGCTCCTCTACATATAGTATAGGATTCTACGCATATTATATGCGTCTAAAAGGAAACTGTGTGGAAAAATTTCATAACAATCCAATTGGAGAAATCATGTTTAAATCGGACAAAAGGACATTGCAACATGCATGCTTGACAAGCATTTATTAGATAATGATGTTATTAGTTTTTCCAATCTACACAAAAATAACGATATATTTTTCTAACATTTTAGTGGTAATATAAATATTACATCGATTTGATATCAAGTCTATATTGGCATACACTTTTAAAAAACCGATCGAACTATAAACTAAACTATAGGACAGTAATTTTAAGGACATGTGATAATTCTTCGACTTATAAGCATGTTTATGCCGGTTTACCTGTCCTTGGCTAGCTCCCTTAAGGCTCTTGAACTGATCCCGGAGCTCTTGCACCAAAGTATTGACACTCTATTTTCCAGATGATAGTAATGTTTTGTTAAGCTGTACTAATTTCCTTTGAAGGCCCGTACAAGCTATAGAGTTTATATATTCATATATCTTGTACTGATCCCGGAGCTCTTGCACCAAAGTATTGACACTCTATTTTCCAGATGATAGTAATGTTTTGTTAAGCTGTACTAATTTCCTTTGAAGACCTGTACAAGCTATAGAGTTTATATATTCATATATCTTGTACTGATCCCGGAGCTCTTGCACCAAAGTATTGACACTCTATTTTCCAGATGATAGTAATGTTTTGTTAAGCTGTACTAATTTCCTTTGAAGACCCGTACAAGCTATAGAGTTTATATATTCATATATCTTGTATATTTATTCAACATATCAATATTTCATTGAATATATTTATCTGTTATTTTAAAAGCTAAAAGTATAGAGAGATGTCTATTACAGTTGCATAAAAGAAGAATCTGATTATAGTGTTTTTATTTCTAGTATTAGTTGGAACTCCTAAACCACGCTTTACAGGTTGGATATATTTATAATATTCCCAAAAATGTTGACAGTGCCATATTTTTGAAAATTGTATATTTTGAAGAAGCTCTGGAGGCTATAGTTTATTTAAAGTTTAAAAAAAATGGATAGACAAGCTACTGGCGTATTCAGCCCCTACGTTTTGTAGGTGCTGGTCTGCCTGCAATAGCTCCGATGGGTATCGAATATCTGTATGCCTTTTGGGTCGGTCTTGGAGGCTTTGGTGTCGTAAATATACTGCCATCTGCAACTTTTTGCTCCAGAGCCTCCAAGCGCCTTAATACTTCTTGAAGTAGAGGTGAATTGGCACAAATTTTAGAGCACTTTTCTACTTTTTCGTCCATTTCCTGCAGCTTACTTAAAGCAGATTTTAATTTGCTCTCCATTTCGTCGATACGCTTTTGAAATTCCAACAATTTTTCGCCATGTCTTACCAGTTCATCGTATATATTTTGCAGACGCGTCAATCGTTGAAGAACCTCTTCCAGTTTTTTGTCATATTTGTTCCTTAAGCGGTTTTCCAGATCACCCAGTCGGCTCTCAATATTTTTGGTGAACTCTTCAACGGCCTCAGTATGTGCCACAAACAGACCATTAAAGTCTCCGAATTTTTCCTCCACATCTTTACGCAACTTATCGAGCTGCTCACGTATATCGCTAGCATTCAGAGAAAGATTTTCCAGATTGTTTTTGATTTCATTCAACGAATTTTGCAGCTGTTCTATTCGATTTCTGAGATCTTTGGCTTCGCTTTGATTACCTAGTTTTGTGGAATTAAGATCTTTAGTTCGCTGCATTGCTGCATCGAGACGATCTTTCAAGTCTTTCATATCGCTCTCTAGTTCTTTCATTCGCAAGCCATAGTTGTTGTTCATTTTTTTAAGATTTAGGTGCAACTCATTTCCGTGCTTAGTCAGCTCCTCCAAGCGTTTGCAACAGCTCTTGGCCTTCTCCATTTGAGCTTCCAGGTCCTGCAGTTGTTGCTCCAAGTCCTTAATGCGCGCCTTGAATTCCTTATTGGAATTACATTTGCCAGCTTGAATATTTTCCAGCTGATCGTGCAGTTTTTTAAGCTGGGCTACCTTCTCTTGCAAACCTCTACAAGGAGTTAAGCTCTGGTTGTTCTTAATGCCCATGGCCGTCGTTAGTTTACCTTCTTGGTTTAGAAGATCCTGAATTTGCTTCTCCAGTCTTGCAACTCTTGCTTCCAATTGGTCAGCATTGCATATATTTTTTTCTTCTCCATCAGGCTCGCAGTTCTTTTCACAATTCTTGTAAACCTTTTTTAAGGTTTCATCACGTATCTCTACGGTTTCTTTTATTTTTATTATTTGACCATCTTGCTCTTTCTGGTCTTTTTGCATGTTCTGAATATGTTCTTTTATCTGATTGGCTCTCTTCCTCGTCTCATTTTTCTCTGCTTCTACTTCGTCAATCAGCTTATGAAGTTTCTTTTGAATCTCTTCACAACAACTTGCAGTACCATTTGTAGAATTTGTAGAAGAACTTTCCTCACGCTCCAACTTTTCTATGCGATCATCCACCTCTTTCAACTGTTTCTCTAATTCGGTTTGCTTATCTTTTAGCTCATGTTTATCCTTTTGAAACTTTTGGGAGAGCTGCTCTGCCTTTTTCTGTAATTCTTTTAGTTTTTCTAGCAGATCTCCCCTTATTTTTGTCAGACTTTCGAGTAGCTGGTCACAACAATTTGACAATCGTTTCGTTACGAGCTTCTTCATAGATTCCAAAATGGTATCTAAATTTTCTCCTAGCTCTACACATTGGTTTGCAGACTCAGTCAGCTCCGTGTCATTTCCTCTACCCGAATTCTCGATGTTTTTGAAAATCCTTTTAATCGTGTATGGCTCGTAAAAACAACAAAACTTCTGGGGAGAACTTTCGTTGAACGATCTAAGGAGCTCGCCGATTCTTTGATTAAAACGCGCCATCTTAGCCGTGCTTACAACCTGGTCGTTGATCCACCGTGCTACTTCCTCGTTATTGTGGCATTCCATTTCCGAGGGTCTTTCCACAGTACTTCGACTATTGAGCAATTTCTGGTCTGTTTCAGACGACACTCTGCCAATGACCGAACACAATAACACCTGCAACAGCGTCTTTGCTGACGTCATGGAATGCTACGCATTGAGGAAGTAATCGTTTAGAGTGCCATTGATTTTTATGATTACAACAACGTACCATCTTTATTATTTTAAGCGTTTCATCAACAGGCAATAACAAGAATTGAACCAATACTGAGCGTTCTCATTGCTGTTCACAGAACACATTCTAGTTCCAATACAAATCGATTTTCATGCTGAGCATTTGTAACGAGGTGTTCTAGAAATAGTTCTGAGTTTTTTAAATAGAAGTGTTGACTTGAAAGAAATATGTATTAGAAAAATTAAATACTTATTATTATTAAAAAGTAGTCCAATATCTTTTACATTGAAATTAGGGAAGAATTTGTTCATTCTAATTCATTCATTCATTTTAAATGATTAAAACATGAACTTTTCCAACATAGACATAAAAAACATATGTATTGGATTTTTTTTTGGGATTTTTATTGGAGCTCCCTCCTAATATCAAACTTTATTTTATTTTCTCTATAGTGCTAATAGGAAGCAAGGAATGTCTATCGAACCAAAAATAAAACGTTGAAAATATTGTTTTGGAGGGTCGTCACTTCAAAGCTCCTTGACTTTATTATGACCTTTAAAAATAGTACATTAACATAATACGAAATAAAACATAATATAAAACAACATAAGAACCCCTTAATCATCTCAGTCGGGGCAAACAGTCAAAAAATAATTCTCTACATAAATAAGTTACTGGACCATTTATAGAGCACGAGGAACTAACGTTCTATATATTATGAGAAAACCTATAATCTTATTAAAAACTAGTATACCCTTTCACCTTTTAGGTACAGGGTATTAAAATATTCAAATATTTTAAGAGCAAATTTTATTTTTTAAAGCGTTAAGGATTTTTCGATTTGAAATTAAAATGCAATTTATAGAATCTCAGAAAGGCAGGAAAGTTAATTAAAAGTTACGATTAAGATAATTATTGTTATGATTTTTTGATAGTGCGTCAAGTATTGTACTATGAAAGCATATTTTAATTTATAAACTTTTTGTTTTAAAATATTGCTGTCGACTTTCCCCCTTATATGGGAATGTTTTCTATGAAAAATTAATTTTTGTAAATAACTACGCATCGTTATTTTTATGCGACAACGCTTAATTTTTTAACAACAACCATTGATTGACAAAAAAAAAACGTAGACAAACTCACGCAAAAAATCGTTAAAGGAGCTATGAAAAATAATGGAATAGATTTCTTTAAATACTGTTCAAAATATGTTTTATGATGTGTTTGTTTAGGAACTTAATAACTTTTTCTTTATCACTACAACTAATTCTCATACGAAGAATGGCTAATTTTTCAAGTCGGGAAGTATTTTAGTATAAAGTTGGAAATGTGCATAATTAAAAGAAATGCTCAATAAATTATATTCCCTAAGGCCGCAAACATTGCCATAAGCAGCCCCCCACACAGACATTCACCAAGAATTGCGGAACATAGCTCGGCAACTAGCAACAAAAAAGTGCCAACATGCATTTTTCAACGCCATTTGAAACACCAACACCCTTCCCCATCCCGGCACAGTCCGTCGCCGAAGCCAGCATCTAAGTACCTGAAGCCACAGAGCGAAAGGTGGGGGCTTGCGTTTCAACTGTTTGCTGCCTGCGTGCCGCCATTTTTGCACAGTCGCGCTCTTGAAACAGATACCCAACATGGGACTAAAGGTCTGTCCGTCCGACTGTCTACTATGTCCCAGCGACGAAGGAGACGGCAAACCTCAAATAGAAAACAATTTCACAAACGCAAACATAGCTGCGCAGCATAGACACACACACACACACACATATATATACAGAAACGCACACAGAAATAAAGCAAAGCACAAAAATTAAATCGAAAAAACCGTAAAATGAAATCGCTTCAAAAAAAAAATAAATAAAGAAAACTTTTTGCGCTACGTTTGACAAACATTTCATTTTAGTAATTTTCCTAACGTTGCGTCGGCAACATTTTCAACGACTTGGTCGCGAATTCCCGTTTGCCCAGCAATTGAGACTTCAGCCAGCAGCCACAAACTCACTTTAATTAAGCGTCCTGCATACACGGCGTATGCGTAACCCAAAGCACAAGTCATGCACGTGCAGTTTACGCCACCGGAAGTGTAGAACGAAACTTTTCAAAAATCAATTCCAACTGCACATAAACATTCGAGGGTGGACCAATAAATTGGCAAATTCATTTAATTAATTATTTTCCATTTCTTCTCCTTAATTGATTATTAAATATTAACAATTATATAATTTTTCTTATTATAATAAGTATTTAACTGCTGCTAAATCTGAAAAACATGGCGAATGAACAATACGTAAAGATTAATTTCATTAAAAGGGCTTTTGAAAACTGTTTTGTTGTAAAAGATAATACTTTTTTTATGTTTTGAAAGGAAATATTTCTATTTCAAATCGAAAATTCTTCTATTAACCATTTTTTTCTTTTTATTTGTGTCAAGTAGTAATAAGTTTAATTCAATTATCAATTTATTATTCTTGTGGTTCTAAAAAAGTATGACAAAATAGCGTGAATATTGGAATATAATTAAATCATTTAATAGCAGAAGTTCAATATTTAACTGCTTCAAATAGGTCGGGATAAGCATTGGACTAACTAAGCTGACTGAACATTGGACATTTATTCTGATTTTTTTGTTTTAATAAAATGTTAACCGAACAAAACAATAGTGCCCATAGCACAAATTATAGCCTTATTATTCATTGATCAATTGAAACTATTTCAAGACCTATTCCATTATTTGTAATACTTACTTAAATTGAATAAACCGGATATTGAAAGTCTACCCAAGTGCCTTTTTCAGAAGGATACATTTTAAACAGAAAGCGCTGAGTAACGTTCTAAGTCATGAAATTATTCAGTTATACAGGAAGTTAGTTGCTGTTCTTGCCTATAACCAAGTTATACAGCCCTACTATGTTAGAAGTTATAGAGCCAAGTATATAAAAGACTTAGGGTTGAAAGGAAACATTGCTTTCCTGCTTCGGCCCAAGGCACCTCTATTGTTGTTAGTTCCAAATGGCTTTTTAAATAATAATAAAACTACGTTATATACAGTACCTCTATGTTTAAATTCGCCCGCCTTACATCAGTCAGTCAGTCGGGGTTATGCCTGTTATCGCAATATGTTGTTTGATATAACACCAAAAGCATCTTGTGAGCATTTCAACACCTATTGACCTGCCCTCTGATAATTCTTTAGACAAGTGCATATGTCTATACTTACGTATGAAAATGAAGCGCAGCTTTCAAATTGCAATGAAAACTTTACGCGGAATACCGTGAGCGTGACTGGCAAGTGAACGGCTGTCGGTAAGAAGACCGCCAGACATTGGACAGATCGGCATGCCAGGGAAGAAGCAAAGTTATAAACTAACTATGAGAAGAAATGAAAGAAGAAGGGTAGGAAGGACAATCGAACTTTTGCCTGGCAAGTGTCTGACTTGCGGTTACATAATCTGCACTTGGGTTTTAGTTGCCACCACCAGGAAACGGAAGCTTCCACACGGTTCGTGTTGACACCTTAAACGACAGGCGGACAGGATAACAGGCAGCTGCCTGTTTTTTGGTCCTTTCGCTGTTTAAAGTTTGCCAAATGGTTACATAGTTGAGCAAATTACCTGCCGCTTAGCCTGAAACTATTAGCCAAGGGCAAGTGCGCATTGAAGGGAAACATTTTGCAACTATCGTTGCTGGGCTCTTATGGAAATTAATAAAACATTTTACAATTACATTTAGCTAAACGCAATTTCCAATCAAAATTGTTTGGCTACATATTTGCGCGTAGCTATTGAAAATATTTTCCTGCCCACTTGAAAATTAATAAAAGAGCATCCAGTCAGCTGTAAAATGTTCATGGTGCTCCTTTTTTCCATTTTTTCCTTGTTGTTTACTTCGCAAAAGTGTTTTTTTTTTCCCTTCTCGCAGAGAATGTTTTGATTTGGAAATCGAGCGAAAAAACGAAAATGTTTGAAATTTTAAATTAAAGGAAGGGTCAACGAGCCCTTTATGCTGAGCTCTTCATTTGATGTTAATTGGATGCCTACAGATGCTTCATTTTCAATCTGTTGTACTGTGTAAGTATTTATTTAGAGTACTTTTCAAGTATATTAGGATATATGAATGCTATATTTGGTATACATTTTACATCATAAATAATTACGTTGGTTCCCTTGGCTTTATTAAGCATTGGTGGCTTATTATAAAAAGTTTCTCCACCTCTTCTAGTCCTAAATATTGTGATATTTAAAACTAAAAAATTTATATTTACAGGATGATATACATTAATACTTTCAGTAACTTTTGAAAAAAATAAAACAAAAGTAAATTATAAAGTAATATGCTTTTTGCTGAAGGAAAAAATCAAAATGAATGCTCCGAGGAGGATAAAAAATTCAAAAATTACTACTTCCTCATAACTAGTATTCTATATTTAATCTATATATGAATTTTGGAAAGTATCGTATAAAAAGTATTCAATACAGCCTTTACTATGCGCATAGAAAATCAAATCGAAAGAGAAGATTATTTATCTCAGCAGCGGCATTTTACTTATTTTAAGCCCATTTGTATCTTTATTTCATTGCTCAGTATCTAGTTCACTAAATTATAAATCGTGTATGGAAAACTATTCATTATTAAGGCAGACACTGTACAATTTAAACGATAATTGTTTAAGTTTTGAATAATCTAGCAGAGAATTTGTTATATACAGTTTTCTCATCCTATTAGCTTGGCTTTAACCCCATTAATATTTTCTCTCTGGAGGAAAATGCTCGAGTGTCCAAAAGTAAAAGCTATTGATGTGATGACAGGGAGCGACCAAAAGTTAAGCCTTCATGCAAATTGCAAGTCAAGGGTATTAAGCCAAGTCAACTAAAGCTAAAGCGATGCTCAATGACACAATTGTCAAAGCATTATCGGCTTAGTTTGCACACACGCACACACACACACACACACACCCACACAAAATTATATAGACACGTACTACACAGGCCTCAGTACTGACAGGAATTTAAGAGCAGACTGGCTTGTGTCGAAAAGGAAAAGCACGCGCTTCAGTTAGTTGTCTTCTTTTTTTTCTTGGTGAGAAACTTTACACAAAAATTACAAATGCAGAGCACATACATATGTATATATTATATGTAAATGTGTGCAAGTATATATATGTATGTAGATTACCCACTTCAGTATGCACAAAAGTAAATGCAAACACTTTTTGGCATCGAGCCTTTAATTAATAATTTTAAGCCGATTTGTTTGTCATTGTCATGGCTGTGGATGCTGCGCCTACGCTAATATATACAGACATATACGAGTATATATATATAAATATATTTATGTGTACATAAGCGATCAACTTCCATCACAATAAAAATTGTTCAAACGTAATTGAAAGCCTTTGATGGATGGGCACGAGTAATAAAGTTAGTTAGGGGTAAGTTAGTATGTGTGGGTGTGTTTACTTATAGTATTAGCCTTTAAAATTGATTTGTGATTGATGAGATGTGATTTATGCTCAATAAGCATATTTTATTATGATTAAGTAGATTTTTCTTAGCAATTCAATCAATAACCTAATTGAGCAAAGCCTGACGTTAAATGTCAAAAATGTTAAACAATAATCACAGAGAAATAATTTAATAAGAGTTAAAATTGCTCCTCTTTTAACTCACTGTTTTGAGATATTTATATGAAACCACTATTTCTTACGAAGCCCTGTAATTTACACAAAACATTTTTGTAACCGACAACAATTTTTTTTTGTTATGATAAAACTTCACTGATAAGAATGTGGTATGTATTTTAATAATTTGAAGTCTGGAAAAATCGAGATTTTTTGAACTTTTGTATCTGCAGAATCCATAGAAAGGACATAAACAGAACTTTGAAAAACACACAGATGAAAAATATATGAAATTAATATTTTAATTAAGCAAATGTGTAAAATATAATGAAAATAAAATATAATATACAAGTATCATCAATTCAAATATTTCACACCCTATTGACCGTGCGAATTTATGTATGTATATAAATTATAAATATACAATTTAAAATAAGATTAAACTAGTTTCTAGTTCAAGTTGTATTTGTATAATTAATGTGTATACAACTGAAAAAAAAAGAGTTGAAATTATTCAATTTTTAAACAAATTCAAAAGAAGAACTGAACCTTGACAACCTTTTTTGTTTTTAATTCAAGAACCCTTTTCATATCTGATGGCCCATCTAATTGTTGGCGAACCAGAAAACTTGCCGCAAATTGTTTGCAATGTGAAACAAAAGATCCGAGAAAGAAAACGCAATGACCCACACGTTGACACTGACCTGGAACTCTGACCTCAAGCCCGCAGCATACCAATTAATCCAATTAAGGCATACAATGGCCCACAACAGAGGTGTCCTTCAAACGAGCCAACAAGCCACAGCAGCCAGAGGATTCGTATTTGCTTCTCATTAACAGAGCACCCGAATGCGAACTGAAAACCAAACCAAAGTGCCAACCAAAATCACGAGCTTTAACCAATTAACATTTCTTTCTAGCACTTCAAAATAAAGAAATGTATACGTATAGAAAAAATTCCCTCTTTCTTAGTTACGAGGTAGGAAAAAAGAGACGAATTCTGACGAGGCAAAAGGAAATCAAATAAAAGCCCTTTAGTCGACGCTATGAAAATGAAAATTAAACCATTTGCGTTCATTAAGCTAAAGCGTTCATTCCGGAGAGCGCGCGGATACCCAAGTGTATAGACAGCCAGACAGACGAGGAGGACAACGTATACCAAGGACATGTCGACCCACAGGATAATCAATTATGAATGCGGGGCACACCGAGCGGGCGACACAAAGAAGCACCGACGATAAATATGCCATAAAAGTGCGGCTCACAGGGCGTATGAGTGTTGGCAGCTAAGCTTTTAATGCCCAGCAGCATATTCGTCTGCTTTGTCAACGAAATTACTCGCATTACGATTATTATGCTGATAATTTGATGATTATTGCGACATTGATTTGCTGACCGCCCAAACCGTATAGTTGAGGACAGAGGTTGACTTAATCAGCTAATGAACTAATTGCTTTATACTGTTGATCATGCTACCTAATGTTAATGCCACCAATTAATTTCTCATAAATTCATAAGACCATCTCTTGAGCCTTTTGTGTGCATAGTTGTGCATAATTGATGATAAGGAATGCGTTCAATAATTCAAAACTGCTTCCACATTATGAACAGGTAGGCCATATCTAAATCATCAAAGTAAATTAAACTCGGCCAGACACACAAAACAGCTGCCGATAAACAAGAACAACAACAAGAACAGTACTATACAATTTCCGAACAATGGACGCTTCTGACTGTGAGCTTCGTATAATGATGCTGGGTTGCATGCGTGAGAATGCGACCAATATGCGTTTGGAGCATCAGAATTTGCGGGATCGCATTCAAAACGCATTGGAGCGTGCACGCGCCAGCCTGGTCACCATCGAATCATTGACCGAGAAACTCAAGGAAATGAAACAGACCGTCCAAACTGCTCTGGACCGCCTGGATGAGCATGTGGCTGAGAATGACGTTGCTGCCGTCGAGCACAACGTGTCTGAACAGTCTTCGGCAGAGCCCTTACAGATTGAAGGCGAGTTGGCCGAGCCAGCAGAGAACGAGGCCGAACAAATGGCTCAGTTGTAATACAAGAAAATGAAGAATGCGAGCTTACTTCCGCTTTAATTGGCTGGGAAACCTACGTAAGCTCTACATAGTTAAGAAACTCGCACAAATGATGGCTTGGGCGCAACTTCAGGACAGTTATGGATTGAGGCTGGATTTGAAAACTAACACAAGATAAATTCAAACTGTTCGTTCACATTGCTGCCAACTGGTAGCTTATATATTTTTTAATGTTCAACAATTGTTAAGAATTAAAGAGCAGAATGATACAAAAGACAATCAAAATACAGCAATTCGATTTAATGCAAAAAGGTTTTGTCAAAATGTTCATATATCATATTACATATCGCACATGTTTAATGGAGATATATGTATATATGCGTAAAAACTATCTTATCAAAGTGGTGATCTTGTTTACATATATAAAATAAAATGCTTATATAAAATATAAAATACTTATAAAAATAAAGAATAATATTTTCCCTTATATAAAAATAATATTCTAAATTCCAATTTTTCCATTACAAGCTATTGGAAACTGAAAATTGAAATTTGGTTCCTAGTATCCCAAAGATAGTGTAATTTGGATAGATGTAGAATTCTGAGAGCATTAAAGTACACAAGAAGCCAAGATATTCCATACCAAAAGCCAATCTGCATAGAAATTTGCGTAAGCTCGAGAGGAATCTTTAAACTATTTCATAATAAAAATCAACAAAAACTAATAAATTAGAAACATGATCTACGAAAGAAAACCAACGAAAGCCTCTAAAAAAAGTATATGCGTATGTTGGTGTTAAATATTACGCATACGACACATTGACATCAGCATATAAAAACCATTAGACATCATCTGTTAAATGAAAGCAAAACATGAGATCAGAATAGTCTATTAGCTATGCACCTATTAAAATGACGAGCACACAAACTTAAACTCGTACAAGCAATTTGTCTACTCTCTTCCTCTAATAACTCATACGCACAGTGTGACCCCAACCGCTGTTGAAACTTAACACCTCTAACCCGGAATGGCAAACACCTGTTGAACGCACAAAACATACTCACACACTGTGCTACTGGCACAGAGTACTCCGCTCTCTCGCTCTCTCTCTCTCTCTCTCACTCTCTCTCCGAGCACATTTTCGTATTCCACTCTACTAGTGAAATTAGTGAATTGCACTCAACGCTTTTGCTTTCGACCGCGTTTATTGCTGGTTTGTTTTGCTCTGCGCATACGCGTTCGCCGGCAAGCTCCACAAAGTTCACTCACATCGAATGGGCGAACAGTAAGGCTTCGAAATCTAGCAACTCAGTAACACAATTGCGCAAATAATTACAAGAACTACACGTGTGCAACTATAAATAATTCTGTTGACAATAATAGTAGGGAAACGAAATTGGCTTTTGAAGTCAATACAACATTTAACATTATTCTTGTTTAATAAAATGTTCAATATTATAATTTAATATATACTTGACATTTCAATTTGTGAAGGCTAAATCCAAAACACTATTAAAGTCTCAACTATGGCAGGTCGCACTGTAGCTGGCCTGCTCATTTACATTGGATGCGTTTACTTATACTCGCATGCTATCGCTGGTTGGGGCTTTCAAAAATGCTGGACTCGCTCAGTTGTCGTTGGCTAGCCGTCGCGTGCGGTTCGTTCGGTCTCCGTGGTTTTTGGCTCTCTATCGTATTGTCATATTCGCAGTCGTCATCGACGTCATCTTTGTCAAAGCGCAAATACAGTTTGCGTCTTTTTGCGTGTGTGTCTGTTTTGTGTAAGTGTTGAATTTCTGAACTTGCGTGCTGTTTTCAAACTTGTTGTTGCATTCCGCTCATCAATTAAGTTAAAAAATCGAAATGATTTAAATCTCTTCAACACAATTAAATAAAATTCTGTACGTTTGCGCCGTGCTCTGGTTTTATGCAATCGCAATAAATTGCCACACATTTGTTATAAATATAGTACTTCTCTACACATACGAGAACACACATACAAATGTACATATTGTATTCTTTGTTGCAATCCAGTTTTGTGTTTTAACTGAAAACGATTGCAAAGTATCATTTCATTTTTTCTATCATTGAAACTTGAATTTGTTTGTTCATGCAGCCGGAAGTGGAACGCTGCCGCCGTTTTGTCGTCGACGCAAAAATTCAAAATCAAATACTAGAAATTCTGGTAGCACATACATAAACAAAGTCTTCCTTACGTATTCTTGGCTCGAAAAGCAGCGCAATTTTATATAATATATGCATATGTATATTAAAAGAAAAACAAGAAGTGCATGAGACATTTTTTTGGCTCCCGTAAGTTGTGCAATGACTTCTGATGCGACTGAGACTAAAATGTTTTGGCTGCATATGCAAATAACGTGATGGAAAGTTTTGCATTAGGCTAATTAAAACGTACTTGTGGCAATTCATAACTTTTTAAAATGATTAATTCCGAAGTAATTCTAAAAAGTTGTTAGCTTTTATTCAAGTATGCAAATTAATTGCAGTCATAAAATAATTTCAAATATAAAAGAGAAAACTGCTTACAAGAAAGAACCTGATTCTCGTTAATCATTCCTTTTTGTTTTTTTAATAAAACCATTTTAGTTGATTGGAATAAATTAAATAATCACCACAATGCAAAAGGAATAAAAAAGACATAATAAATTGTGAGAAAGGTGAAAAGTGTTCAGAGTGTACAATTTAAAATCTAATCAACAATCGTGAATATTTTTCAATGTACTCCCTCTTACAACAAATAAACGTTTTTGTAAAAATCATCAACATATGTTACTTTTGTTACTCCAGTTTTTCACACGAAGCCAATTTATAAAAACAAATACACATGTACTGTTATACCTCAGCAAATATGTATGTGCAGATATCTGCCTTCATACATACATAAAAATGCAGCACAAATTTCACTCTGCCTATGAATCGAAAACACAGAGAGTGTAAACATAACAAATATTTGCATATAGTGAAAAGTTAAAGCAAAAACTAAACAAAAGCATCACACGCGCTGCCACACGCACACAAATATACATACTCGTACAAATACAAAAATGTATATTTTTATATGTTTTTAAAAATCATAAATTGCACCCAAGCACAATGGGAAATTAAAACATACATCTATGTATATGCCTTATAACTACATAAATAAATAAATCTCCAAAAATGTATTAATAACGTTGGAAAGCTAAAAAACTTGTTGAAAAACAGTAACAATGAAAAGATAATATTGAAAAATAATAGTTTATGCAAGCGAACATTATAAGTGAATTGCATGGCATGCATGCTCGTTTATAGTTGTTTTTAAATGTGTATAAATGCTTAAAAATATTCATGAAATAGAATACTCAGCAATAATGAATACCAAATAATATCGGAAGATCTTATTGAATAGATTATATATTCGCTGAAAAGGGAAGGGCTCAGTAGGAGTAAAGTAAAAGACAATAGTCGCGGACCGCCGTGCGTCTGTTCGCTTTAGAGTTTTATTGGAGACTGACACTTTTGCTATACATATTCTTTATGCTTACATTCGTATGCAACAGTGACAGATAACTTGTAGATAACATAAGATTATTATCTGCTTATATTAACATGCGTGCATTGGTACTTATGTTTGTATTGATTTTCAACACCCTTCCTCAATGCAAACATGTTTTACAAAAATTTTCAAATCAAATTTAACAGCTTTGTAAAATGAACATGCTTCGCTTTAGGGAGATTTTTCGTTAAAATATCAGCTATCATTTCATTGGTTGATGTATACTGTAAAACAATTTGTTCTTCGTTTACAACCTGTCTTGCAAAATGATATCTAATATCAATATGCTTTGTTCTTTCATGGTGTACAGGATTCTTAGCTAATTGTTGAGCACTTAAATTATCGCCATGAAGAATAGTTGGAGTACTCGAGTCACCGCAGCCAATCTCCACTATAAGACGCCGTAGGTATATGGCCTCCTTACACGCAGTTGAAAGAGCCATATACTCCGCCTCCGTGCTGCTAAGTGCCACGCTGCGTTGCTTTTCAGATCGCCAGGATATGGGTCCTCCAGCCAAGTAGTATACATAGCCAGTATACGACTTGCGATCGATGCGGTCGCCACCCCAGTCTGCATCCACATAGCCGGTAAGGGGTTGTCCACACTCTTTGTAGTGCAACTTCAGGTCCACAGTTGACGCCAGGTATCGAAGCACATGTTTTACACCCACTAGGTGCTCTGCATGCGGATCTTGATTCCGTTGAGCTAACTTGGCAACGGAATGCAATATGTCTGGCCTTGTTGTAAGCGCCAGCCACATTAACTCGCCAATTGAAGACTGGTAGGATGCAATGTCAACCTTTTGACAATGCTCGCTGGTACATATCACTTGGAAACCAGCATCCAGTGGGGTCGCTGTAGGTCTACAGGTCTCGCATCCATGTTCACGCAATATGTCTTTGATGTATTGCGAATTGCTTAGCGAAATTTCGCCAAGCTCACCGTCGCGCTGCACTTCCATGCCAAGGAACAAATGCAGCTCTCCCTTGTCAACACATTCAAACGATGTTGTAATGGCTGACTTGATGTTGGCCAAGTCCTCTTTTGATCGGCATGCTATAATTATATCATCAACATAAACAAGGATTAATGATAAGTCACCTCTTCCGTTCCTTTTGTAAAGACACGGTTCATTTTCACATGCTACAAAATCTATGCCTTGTAGTACACAATCGAGCTTGGAGTTCCACTCGCGCCCCGACTGCTTCAATCCATATATTGCCTTTTTAAGCAATAAAGCCTTACTTGGATTATTGGGATCTGTGTATCCCTGTGGCTGCTTCATATAAACAGTTTCATGCAGGTCGCTATTCAAATAGGCGGTACACACATCTATCTGGTGAAGGTACAGCTTCAATTCCGCTGCTAACGCCAAAATAAACCGCACGGTTTCCAATCTGCAAACGGGTGAGAACGTCTCTACATAGTTCACGCCATACTTCTGGGAGCACCCTTTAGCAACGAGTCGTGCCTTGAAACGTTCGACTTTTCCATCAGAGTCACGTTTCAGGCTGTATACCCACTTGCAACCAACTGCTCGCTGATCTTTTGGTAAATCAGCCATCTGCCAGGTTTCGTTTGATTGTAGTGCCTGATATTCCTTTTGCATCGCCTCTTGCCAGAATACTGCATGTGTGCTACCAACGGCCTGATCATAGGATGTCGGAACCATTACGTCACTAGCAACCAATGCTCCAAGCACATTGTATTGCTTTCTTGGACGACCAGGTTTACCATTTCGAACAATTTTAGGCCGGCCTGGCCCAATCTTCACAGTATCCTCGTCAGAGTCTTCTTTTTCGACTGCACTCTCATATGCGTTGGAGCTGCTGTCGTCAGAACTGTGCTCACTGTCATCGTCGTCGATGCTTCTGTCACCATCCGTGTGAGTGACATGCTCTTGAACCTCGCATGCAGGAAAATCTACCGTAACGGTATCTTCATTGGTATGACCACCACAACGCTCATCAAATAGAATGTCTCGTTTTTCGACAATCGTCCTCGTCTCTGGGTCGTATAACCGATAGCCTTTGGCTGCTACCGAATACCCAACCATACGGTACTCATGCCCTTTGGGTTTGAATTTGCCTTTACGGGGACCCTTTGCAAGTGCAACTGCAATGGAACCAAAAACTTTTAGATGGCTAACACAGGGTTTCTTACCTGTCCACGCTTCCATTGGAGTCAGGTTGTTCAGTGCACTGGTAGGTGATCTGTTTCTTATGTATACTGCTGTGTTGACTGCTTCGGCCCACAAAGACTCGCCTAGGCCCGACTGCACCAATAAGCATCTGGACATCTCCGTTAATGTCCGGTTTGCTCTTTCCGCCACGCCGTTCTGCTGCGGAGTATAAGCCACGGTCAATTGCCTTGCAATACCATGGTGTTTCAGGAAACCGTTGAATGTTGTGTTGACAAACTCGCCTCCATTGTCGGTTCGAATACATTTGAGCTTTTTATCTGTTTGCCGTTCAACCAAGTTTTTAAATTCGACGAACTTACTGAACACTTCATCTTTCTTCCGCAAAAAATAAACAAATATACGCCTGGACTTGTCATCGATGAAGGTCAGAAAGTATTTGGATCCAGCAAGTGACTTCGTGTCGAATGGGCCGCATACATCAGCATGAACCAGTTCCAACAGCTCTTCGGCACGGTTAGTGCTTACCTTTGGGAATGGCTGTACATGTATTTTGCTTAGCATACACGTTTTGCAATTCAAGTTGTCTGGGAAAACAACCTTTCCAATACCACGCACTAGCTCTTTGCTGATCACTTCCTTCAGACTGGTAAAATTTAAATGGCCATAACGCTTATGCCACAATGTACCATCTGATTCAGTTGCGGAATAACACCTATTTTGTTTGCCTTGAAACATATAAAGGTTCCCAACTTTATTCGCTTTCAGTATACACTCGCCGTTTTGTATAACTTTAGCAAAATGTGGCCCAAAATGTATAACATTGTTCTTTTGCACTGACCGGCTGACGGACATAAAGTTGCCATTCATTTTCGGTACATACAGTACATCTGACAACACCAAGGTACAAAGTTCTGTCTGTAACTTCACCTCTCCTCTGCCTTCGGCCTTCAGGAAACCAGCGTCAGCTAAACCGATCATTTCAGTGTGCGCAATAAATTTTGAAAATAACGTCTTATCGCAACACATATGGCTTGTTGCTCCGCTGTCCAGACACCACATGTTGTTCTCTATCTTTCCAACG